TTAATGCGTAATTTAAAAAAAAGTTGAGTGGACCACGGCAAACAGCGGACCTCCGAGGGTAACGGCAGCCAGATGTTATCCTAGCCCGTCTGCAGCAGCCCAGTTAATTATTATTCCCCCAATTAAATGAAAAAAGTCAGAATTTATTATTATCTAGAGACTATTAATAACAGGAGGTGAAAAGCAGCTCCGTTCCAATTGACCCATAATTATGCTGCATGCTCCCGTACTCCCCAAGTCCATACTTTCCTGTGTTCTTCTCAAGAACATACCTGGCGAAGACATGAGTCCGTACTGACGTTCTTGTGAATTGAGAAACGGCCAGCAATTTGGTCTCCAACTATACACCTGCAACGGTCACCACTACTCTGCGAAGATTCTTATTTCAATTGTTGCATATATTAGCTACGACATATGAATCAAGATGCTATAAGAGAAAAAAAATACTTTAACAAATATTCCAACACTGCATACAGGATGCTTTAAGCAATATTAAAAAAAGGATCTGAAAAAGAACTAGTACATGCACAGATTCATTTAAGATTCAATGAACAACTACACTAAGTGAAGATTCATGCTAGAACCTACTTATTGAATTTCCTAAATCAAAAGCTATTGCTGCTCTCTGAAGTCTGGCCAGAAATGTTCCCTTTTCAGCCGAAGTAGAACCTCAGGGTAGTTCAAAAGTACAGTCCCGTCCTGAAGGGAAGCCAGGTGTGCTGAAGCAAACATACAAATGGCTGCATCATCAGCAGAGCTCTTTCAAAAACTAGACAGAGAATAACCTGCTGTTGCAATCCATCCATCATGCTTCAGGGACAGAGTGCCAGAGTGCACTTTGTGTCTGGATCTGTGTTCATATGTGCAGAGAGAGGGAAGGAGAGAGGCCCTCAGAGAACATCTCAGTATACCCATTATCCACACTAACCCTCCTCTCCCGTTTCCTCCCATCGAGGCAGCTTAGCAAGACCGGATTACAACCAATTACAGGCCTCCCTGGAGAGCATGAAAACAGGGCTGGAGGATCATCTATTTATTGTGTATGACCCACCAGATGGGAGATGGTCATTTAACATTTAATCAGCTATAAGAACCAGAGGATCAAAACTGAACAATTCCTGATACTGAATACATGTGGCGTATTAGGACAAATTACCCACTAGGAGCACATTCAGCATGTTGAGCTTTAGATAAAAAAAATAAAGCAACATTATCCCATAATTTTTTATACTGGCCTAACTGCAGAGCTGCTGGTGGTGATCTTCAGTATATAATCAGAAAGAGACAGAGCACTTGTTGAAAAAGTCATTGGTTCATCATCAAGCAACCAAGTAAAAACTTAAAGGGGACAAACATGAGAATATAAATGTTATTGGACAGTGTGAAGGAGCACAACTACAATGATATGCTGTCTGAGACTATATTAAATCATATATTCAGAAATTCTTCCATTTGTCCTCATAATCTTGATAAGACTATGAGGATAAGACTATTTTTGACCAACTGTGGCCAAAACAAAGAACTGCAGCCCTTCTCATAGCTCATGCTTGTACTAGACAAAGGTTTTTAAAAAAAAACATTTTGATTTTATTTTCACCTTACCTGGAGTTGCCATTGTTTTATGAGTAGAGCTGGATGCTATTCGCTTCTGAGTTAAAATCCTGATTTAATATAAAGCTTTAATTGTTTACTAGATTGGACCCATTTAACATGAATGTGCTTGATGTCACAATCGCCGAACAGCGCAGGAACTTCTGAGCCAAAGTGAATGAGGAAAAATAGGCTACAGACTTACAGATGCATCACTGCTGAGGTGTCTGCTCATCAAGCGATGTTTTTGTCGTAAAGGGCCAAATAAAAAGACTACTGTAAAATATTTTTCAGTAAAGACGTACAAAATGTCTCTTAAGTGGACTGATATAAATTTGATAAAAAAAGTGTCTCTGTTATAACTACTATCAATTAAACCACTGTTGCCTTGCAGTTAGATTCAGTTCAAGGCCTGGGGTCTTTCTGCATGGAGTTTGCATGTTCTCCACATTCATTTGGGGTTCTCTCCGGGTACTCCAGCTTCCTCCAACATATCAAAAAAAACATAAGAAACATGACTCTTAGGTGAATTGGCTTCTCTGAATTGTCCTTAGGTGTGAGTGTATGGTTGTAGGTCTTTATGCATCTCTTTGTTGCCCTGCGACAGACTTGCAACCTTTTCAAGGTGTACCCCGCCTCTCACCCATAGACGGCTGGAGATAGGCACCGGACTCGCTGAGAGCCTGAGCTTCGGTGAAGGACCCAAAAAGTGGTGGGTGGAGATGTATTTGAAATCAAGTTCTAAGACTTAAAACTAAAGTTTAAAGGTAGAAGGAAACACAAGGTGAAACAAAGAGCAAACAGAAACATGGCGAGAAAACAACCATCAGGAAATGAAGCCAAATAGTAAAATGACTACATGATTAACCCAAGACGCCCTATCAGTGTGTGAGACATAAATATTTAAATCCATAATGGAGCAAAATAGGAAAAAGTCAAGTTTAAATGTGACAAAGACACTGAGGAACAAGTGTTTAAAGGGAAAACAGGAAGTCTATTGAACATTTTAAAAAACGAGAAAACAAACTATCTTAATAAACCCTGTAGCACACAGCTAAATTAACCAAGGAACCTAAAGCACAGAGCAGAACCACAAAGAACCCAGGAGGTCCGTGTAGTTAAACAGTCTTGACCTTTAGAAAGGTGACATCATCAAGTTATGGAGTATCTCCGCTGTAACTGTTATTGTGACACTCCTCTGGATAGACTGTTGGTTATCCAGAGGATTTTAGTTTGGTTTTTTTTTACGGCACTAGTGGCTTGTTTTTTTCAACAGTAGGCTGCCAGGAAAGGGGGTATGAGAGAGGGGGAGAGACATGCAGGAAAGGACCATAGGCAAATAGGTATCTTTGTGTCATTACTCATAGTTTTGATGCCATACCTGTATTTTTTGATGGACATTCCTGATCTTCTCATTTTTATGTGTAAAACTGACATTTATAACTCAATTAAACTTACAAAATCCAGAAAAAATCAACTTGTGTTTACATGTCAGATGTTTACATACATAATAAGAAAAAACAATACATCTTTTCACTTCAGGAAAAAAGTAACAAAAATATTTTCCCCTTCAGCTCATCAAAGTTACACTTTTTATTTACCAAATCCCCCCAAAAAATATTTTAAGAGCATTTCCTTCTGTCTATTACTTACAAGTTTAAGTAAAAGTATTTGGTAGAATTTTATTTTGAATAGTACACTTTTATTCAAGTGTTTTGAGTTTCTCTACGCAAGTTTCTCATAATATTTTGCAGGTTTTTGTCCCATTCCCCTTGGCAGAACTGATGTAACTTATATTTTCTGTTCTATCTTAAATTTTTCTATGCTATGGGACTAAGATCGGGGCTTCAATAATGACCTTACAAACAATGCAAATTTGTTTTAAGAATTTTTGTGGGGGATTAGGGTCAGTGGCCATGATACCATTTAATAAAGAGCATCAGTCCTTCCAGAAGCAAACATTCACATAAAATGATACAAGTTCCTCCACTTTTCTTAAAATGTAACTATGGCCACTCTGGTAAAACAATTTGGTTTAAATGTTATCATTTACAAACTGTAATCTTGCATTTTGTATCCTTTGCAGAAATGACTTGTCCCTTATTGACCAGCTTTTTTAACTCAGGTTGGTGTTGAGACTTTTTTCTCCAGATAATAGCGAACACCCGACAAATCTGATCATGCCTCTGTTTTTGGCGTGAGGTTGATTCACAGATTTTGAAACAAAACATGTTGATCTCTTCTCTGAACACTGTTAATGACTGGCAACATATTGTAATGTTGTTTATACTTGTGGCTTTGAACAGATCATTTTGGCTCTGTCAGACTTCCAGACATATGAATAAGACTTGTTCAGGTCCAAATTCTCTTCCTGATATCTTAGCAGATTTCTTTAGCATTTTTTATGATTAAAAGCTGTGTTTAAGGTCTTCTGTAATATTGCTTTTTTTTTGTCTTCTGTTAAATTGCTTTTTTGTTACAGCTATGTCCATACAGTTATGTGTATTTTTTTTATAAAGAACATATTAAAAATCAAAGCAATGCAAGGGTTTGAAATGTAGCCAAACAACAAATTTAGCTTTTAATCTGTTTACATTATGGATAAAGCTTAAAGTGAATTTGTGACAAGAATCAAACAAATTCATCCTGCATTCTTCACTGAAGTCTGTGAAGGTAGGCAAAATACTTTTGCCCCTCAGCCACAGAAATACAAGGTAAGGTGTATATTTTATTTTTTATATTTTGTCATCTTTGATGTAAAGCAGAAGTGACCATCTCTCTTAATGGCATTGACTCATCTACTCAGGTCTTTCATCTCCTCCCTCCTCTTCATTTTTTTCATCTCTCCAGTTGTTTTTATTCAATTTTTTTTTATCATCCTCCTTATCTTTATTGCCTTCTTTAGAAGCGATGCAGTCATTAAGTTTGAGGCAGCTTCAGCTGACGGACAGGCTGCAGTCGGAGCAAACTGGGCCACTCTGACTAATTCAGGCCTTGCTGTCAAGAGTGATCCCCCTGTATCTGTATTCCAGTGGGAAGGTGGGATGACTTCTGTGGTAAAGCTCTGCTCAGTCTGCTGTAGTCAGGCAGAGGAGACAGTTTCTGCAATGGCAGGACGTGTGCATGCTCACATCCCTGTCGGCCTGTATGTGTCACCGACGGCTCACTCCAAACTCAGCAGCTCATTCAAACAGCAGCATGGACTGATTCGCTTTCATTCATTCGTCTTACTCACACTGTAACTGGTGGAGAGATCCACACATTTGAACATCACAAGGCCAGTCAGAGGCATTGACACTAAACTCCAGAGACACAACCTTTTTTTAAACTGGGTTTTCTTTTCCTAAATTATTCTTTTTTTATTCTGTCAATAGAGCTGTCACTTTCAATAAAAAAGAGACAACAACTCACCAAACACTTCTTGCCTTGGAGAAGGTCTTGTCTACCCTAAAAAGAAGAAGACAGAAAAAGCACATTACACTAAATTAAAGCATTTATAATCTCTTTCAGGTTCAGATTGTTTCCCCTTAAATAAAAGAAGTGGAATAGAAAATCCATTTTTTTAAGCTGCATTAAAACACGTTCAGCAGTCAAAACTTGTTCTTGACAACCAAAGCATATCAGCATCACCTACTGGCTCATTACGAATCCCAAATGTAGAAAATGTTGCTTTCTTTCTTCTGCCTGGAAGTCAGGATTTATTGGGATTTTCTCAGATCGAATGATACATGGTTTTTAAAACAGTTTACAGATAATTTGGAAAGAAGTTATATTTACTGACAGTATCATTCTACAGCAGGGGCAAAGAGGCAAAACAAAGGAAAAATGAAACCCCATTTGAGCCGCAAAATACTTGGGAATGACTTTTATGACACGCTCTACTTTTTCCTGAAGAAAAGCCTGCTTAAATGATAGAGTGCCCATAAAGCAAGATGGATTGTGTTGGATTACCTTCTGCCATCTGTTGAAGTAGCATTTTTTCAAGAATGAGAGATTGATTACTACTTAGTTATTTTATATCTTTGTTTTGTTTTGCTTATTTTGACATAGCCAGTCTTATGCTGGTTTGAATCCTTGCTTTATGGCTAATTATTCACTCATGTCAAGAAAAAAAAAAAAAAAACATAATCTCCCAAATCCTCCATTAAATCTCATTTTGCTTTTATGGCCCGTCATGGCCTCTGTCCCATCCTTCTTTTTCCTTCTCTGAGCCATATATGCCCTCACAAGTCTCTCTAATGATGCAAGTGGAGCGGTTCAAGACCCAACAGATCTTGAAAGGTCTGCCTGAAGAAATCATGTCAGTTGAATCAGTTCCATCCTCTAAATCCAGACTTTACACATATTTTTATCTGACAGCCTGTCCTGATGTATATCTTGTTACTTTCACCATTTTCTTACGCCGTTCTATACATTCAGAACCAAAATATTTTTATCATGATCTCTTAACACGCAAACCTTAATATTGCTTATGTTGTGAAATTGCTATCATGGCGTATTGTATTCTGCCCTATGCTTATTTTTAGATTGCTAATTGTTTTAGCCTCTAAAACACAACCTTTTTTTTCCCATTTTGCACTGAATTTAGTAAACATCATATGAAGGTTAGGAAGATCTGTTTCAATGCATAAATGGGGGATAATCTTTAAAAACCTTCATCATCTGCTTAAAAACAGCCTCTATCAGAAAACGTGCAGCAGATTATTTCCTTTCATTGTCAATGTTTGTGACATTTAATTTTAGACATAAAACAATGTTGGTTTCTTTTGTTCCTTTGTTTCGGATGTGAAGATTGTTGGCTTTAAATGATTAATCGTTCATTTATTTTAAGCTGCCTATGTGAAATATTTTGTGCGCACAGGTCGATAAATGCTCTATGAATAAGGGTCAACATATCAAACATAAGTAAGCATTTTGATGAAGTGGAAGAATCTGCATCACTGGAAGTATAAAACTACTCTCCACCAATAGATGGCGCTGTTAGAGCAGAAGAAAAAAAGAAAACCCCTGAAATTGAAAGGATTAACTTTGCCAAAAATCTCTTATGCATTCCTTCCTGCCTTTTTTAAGACATTTATCACAGAAGCTAAACACACAAAGCAAAAATGGTTTGGCTGCAGCTCTTAACTAATACTCTCTTGTTACATTATTCTGTCAGACACTGGCAGAAAGTGGATATTGTTTATGAATCAAAGCTTAAGCACCAAAAATGAACAGTTTCACATAGGTTCAGTTGATTTTTTTTTCTTTTACCCTATTAATGTAATTAGTATTATTTATTTTTTCTATAGTGATTATTGTTCTCCTTTGAGCCAAAGGCTCTGTGTTAGCCACCCACCCAAAATGATACACCCTTTAACATTTTTAGTCTGATCACCTTTTCTTTAGTTTGGTGAGTTAAGCTGTGATGTATTTCTCTACTAGAGGTGGGTAATAACTTTTACTAAATGATACTTTGGGGTGTATTTTTACTGTACTGTACCTCGTACCTTTATTTGAATATTTGTGAAAATATCATACTACTGTCTGACAACTATGAGTACCTTGAGGTATTCAGAGGTCAAGTGACTATGCAGTAAACAGTAAATATTGTTAGTGGAAGTTTTTACCTTATCCTAACATTATATACATTACTCAATGATAGGACCGGTTACAGAAGTATGAAAAAAAACTGCATTTGGAAGAGGGTTTAATCAACAGTAATTTGTTATTTTTAATCAATTATGTTATTTATTTTCATTTTCTTTTTTATCTATTTTGGTTAATAAAATGCCAGAATTTATGCTTAACATCTGTCTGATTGCAGCGTTTCTAAACATTAAATCAGATGTTTTAATCCCACAGCTAACCAATAGTTTAATAGCATTTGAACCAGGTACTTTTTTTACTATTACTTGAGTAATTTCTTGGATGACTGGTTTAATTTTTACTTTTGTAAAAAAAAATATGAGTTAATGCTAATACTCAGTTATTGGGTACTTACCCAGTGCTGGACATTAAAGTGGTTTTAACTTCATTATAGCTGAAAGCTGGAGGTGGGATTTACTCATTTTGTAATGTTGACTACTATTTATTATAGTACAACACATAACAATTTAAAGAACATTTTCTCTCCATATATTTCTTTTCATTTTCTATTTAGTTCGAACAAAACCTTAGCTTTAAAATCCATATACTTGAACTATTAATAAAAAAAATACATCCATTTATTTCTATCTATTTAACAACGTATTTTGCACTTGACTGTCCATTTCCTAATAAACCGCTGCCCCAATAAATATGGTCCAGTGCCTGTTCCCTAACGTGAAAAAAATTGAACACTGCGAAAAAATAATCGTAAAAGGCATCATAACAAATAACAAAGTATCGTCAGAGATTTTAAAAGTATTCCTTCTATTTAACTATGTAAAAGTACAAAAACCTGCATTATAGAATGACTTAAATAAAAGAAAAAAGTTTAAAAGTACAGGTTCAATATTGCACTCCAGTACAAAATTAACTTTACAATTTTGCTTTAAAGGTGCAGTGTGTAATAATTACTGGGATAGCATTTTCTAAGGCAAGACAAACATACAGATTGAGAATTTTAGTTCATAGATAATAATGAATAACATTAACATACGTAATATATTACATTGATTTCAGTACATTCTTGTAATTTTTTACACGATGTACCTTTAAACAAACTCCAACTGTACAGATTCTCTTCTTGATTTTTCCTATGTCTTAATGATGATGAATGAAAGTACTGAAAAAATAAAGAGTATAAAGTACAGATATTTGTGTTTAAATATAGTGAGTTAAAGTTCTCCTTGCTGCCCTCTGGGAAGAGGCTTCACAGCATTACTTTAAACTGGTTTTCCTTTTATCCTACACTGTTTACATTCTCGATCACTGCTACACTTTATAAATGGTAATGTTGATTTCATTGTGGTAAGTTGCTCATTCACTGTTAAAAAGCTTTATGCATCGAAATCTCATTTTGTATACACTCTGTGTATATAAGATGACAATAAAGTTTGTCTAAGTCTTAAAGTTGTCAGGAAATAATACTCAAGTAAAGTACACATACAGAAAAAGCTACTTAAGTACAGGATCTAAGTAGTTACTGTATAAGTTAGTTATTTAATACATCTGAATATCATTTTCTGACTTGCCTTTCAGGAATAAAGTTGTTTTCAGATCTTAGTTTCAACTTCGGAGACAAATCAAAGACAAATTTAATAGAAGCTAAACAACAGTAATGTAAATGTTCTGGCTTCATAGGACTCTCTCTGTCTGCTAAACACTGAAGCAACCTTTATACCTAAAAGCTGAAGTTACCTTCCGCTTCCACTACTTATTCTTGTGCAGACTTATATCTTTTTTTCCTCTTGATGCTGGAACTCCCATGATGATTAAAGATAGAGGTAAATTCAAGATTAATGTATGTTCAAAAGACACTCCAAAAAATAGCGTTGAGTTTGAGGTTTTATACAGTAGCTCATCAAAACCTTTTTTTTGTTTTGGAAAAATGCAAATTGAATCAAACAACGCTATTCCTGAGACTTTGAATTGAAAAAGCTTCCTGAATCGAAACGTCTTCAAAATTTGGAAACAAAGTCCAGTGGATTGTTTATAGTTTTCTTTTTTTGGAATTACTGTTACCTGGATGACTGAGAAGCTTCACCAGATGTTCAAAAGACACATTATTAGGCCTGATCTGCAAATCAATAAGCCATCTCTCTGCAAGTTGAACCAAATGACCCTGTTAATATAAGTGAACGACAACATTTGTTGTATTTAAGATGTAATCATCAACTATTATAAAATTTAAAGGGGATATACAAAAGAAGAATAAATTATGTTGGATCTCCAGAGCAAACATGTTCTTCAAAATCAAATGAAAGTGAGTATGAAATATAAAACCATTTTCAATATTTCAAACAGGTTGAAGATTTCTTCTCATTAACTAAAAGGAATGGAATGACAAGCATCCAAAGAACAATGCCAGCGGTAACGTCAAAAACAAGCTTATATATGACGGAATAGAGAGACATCCTGTTTCACTCCTCCAACAATGACAAATAATACTGCAACAGATTACAAGACACCAGCAAAGAGGTCACAATGGAACCAAAAGTAAAAAGAAAGTTAGGACTTCTTCTTTTCTAGAGAGACTATTGCTAAAAGATAAATGAAAGTTAAAAAACTTCCTCCTTCTGAGAAAACTGTTACTGAGAGGAATTGGAAGCTGATGGGGTCTATTTGTGCTGAATCTATGTACAAACTTCTGTTGTGACTGTAATTTTTTTTTCCAAACCTCCATGTGAGCAATAATAATATTCAAATCAAAACTGTGATGACAATCTAATCAAAAAATACAAACATTTAAAATTTCAGAGTTCAGCAGGGTTATGTGTGCGGATATTACGTCGCCCCACCTAAAGTGGAATGCACATCAGTTT